ATGCTTCGAGCCGGATAATTATAGATTCGCGAAACGTACAGTTACCAGCGTCTATCATTACGAATATTAAACCAGAAATATGGATATTCCGCGAACCTATCGTTAACCTATGGTGCCTGGGTCGCCAAAAAAGTAACGGTGCCCTGATACTCTCTCCTTTGATCAGAAGGAAGTCGTTCCTCTGGAAGTACGATTAAATTTGTCAAGAATAAATATACATTGCCAACCATAATCGTTCCCTCGATCATCTTCCCCATCTTTCACGCATTATAAGTATATAGTTCGATAATCCGACTATGTCTAAGTCTAGAACATACTTGATTATAGGAATCGTACTGTAGATTGGAAATTTATTTCATACGAAGATAAAGTTATTCGCCATAATTCCTAACTGTAGGAAGCTTCGAATGTATCGTGAAGATTTTTACGATTTGCTTATACATCTAAAATAGTAGCTAAACTGCTCCATAAAGATGTTCAATGGTAGCCCTAATTGCCGATCGTCGTTTAATTTAATGATAGATACATTACGAGAGATAGGGTGGTCGTCGGAAGGTAGATGGATGTAGAATATTCTCAAAAATAGCCTGAGTCATTTTGAAACCGCTTGGCCTAGCACTATTGGTTCCACTGGGACGTCTCGATTGAAAGATAGAGGATAATCGAGACTCTGGTATCGATTACGTACATGTGTATAGCAGATGTAAAGTAAATTAAAAACCACGATGTTAGATTAACCGATATGTAATAACATGGACGAATAATTAATTTAACTTTTTGCACGATGAGGATATAATTATCTTCGGGTTGGTCATGGTTCGAGATTTATTTTTAGGAACGAATGCTCATCGACTGACCCCCCATACTCCAATAAAAATACCCTGATTGGTGACTCGATACAGAGACCTCCTGTACTTATAATCTCTCTAGCACGTGGACGAGAAAAGTAAAACTTAGGGTGTTAAAATTAAACGCTCCACCATTGCGCAATTTTTCCCAATCGCATCGTAGCACCAGGGGTTAATTGCCTACCATTCGGCAAATATTTCGCATATTCACATTTATGAAAGTTACAATTTTAACAGAGCTGCAATGAGCGCGTGCGAATAGAAACGGCCTTGGAGTTTACCTTGGGCAGGCGATAGGGGCGAAATGAAAAGTGAACGTGCAAAAGGAAATCTCTGCGCGTTCGTTAATTGAGTAAATCGACGGTTCTCAGAGTTCAGTGAAAGAACACGCGAAAGATCAGGAGAACGTTTTCCATCCGGAATATGTAAGAAACAATTATTAAGGACACGAAGATCGAATCAATGTAAGTTATTAATAAATTCCGCGATTTATGTTTGTTAGGTAGCGACGAGATGGAAGCTAGATCGCGTATCTTCCGAGATACCGGTTAACGTTCATTGAAGTTCGCATGAACGACGCAAACACAATGCGCACTTTACACTGGGAATAATAGCTCGCAAACGGCGGTCGTTTGCGAGAAGAGATGAAACTCATTCGCATGCAAAGGCCGGTACCAGAAGAAAAAACAACTTTCCTCCAAGGCGCGGTTTCTCTTCGAAGAGCAAACAACCGAGAGCCATTGGAACAAGCGACACTAGTCGTTCCGAGATTGACTTCTTCCGTCTTTTAAAGGTTTGGAAGAGAAGTCTAGAGGTATAACCAATAATTATCTGATAAATACATAATTCCCAAAATTTTTCCCTCGGCTCCTGTTGATAAAATATCATTAAGGGGATATTCTAGTCTAGAACCTTCAAAAAATCTATTTCTTTTTTACTTCATTTTCTGAAAGTACGTGTCTTTGAAAATATTTCTATCAGTGGATATTGTTGGATTTGAAAAATTAATAAAATTATTAGCGTTTGTTCATAGCGTGCAACGTATATACATATTCGTATGAAATACTTTGCGTCTTTTTCGAAACCATATTTTTCCAAATGGTTGCCATGATATCTCAAGTTCTAGTTGACCAATTACGATCAAATTTGGAGAGTATCTTCAGTATATGTATTTCTATCGTCCATATTAAAATTTTTAAAGTCTAATGTTTTTAACTATTCTTTTTTCTTTTTTTGTTTGGCACGCTAAAATTAAAAAAAGTACAACCTAACTTTAAAATCGATAAACTAATTTTAAAGTACTGCCAAAAATTTCCTCCAATGTTTTTACACACTTTTGGTACCGACAATGGTCGCGTTCATACTGAATAGAATGGATGTTTGTTCATTTCAGAGAAGAACAGTCGAATTCATGGCAACCGTGCAGACATGTTCAATTGGGGAGACACTACTAAACTAGCTGTACCTTCGACAATTTTCAATACTTTTCCATGACAAAAAATAGTACGTACTCCTTAAATATAGGACAAAACCAGACCACAAATCCCGACACAATAGCGTCTGTATGGTTCTTGAAAAAAAATCCCAAATAGCACCTAGAAGCTTGAGCTCTAGACTAGAATACCGCCTTAATATCGTTTCATAGGCGGAACTCGCCAAATTTTTGTTTCTCATCGCGGTGTCGGTTTTGTAAAAAATTGGAAGGAATTTTGAAGCTTGAAAACAAAAGAATAACTCTATCGGTTGACTATATGTACATTTATAGGCGGGATGATCTCACTTTTTCCTGTCTTTCCCCATAAAAGTCAAGGTATTCGAGAAATCCGCGAACGAGCTAGTTCTGTACCCTCGATGCTCTCCGAGGCGGAAACCGCACTCTTGTTCCAGCAGAAACCGAATCGTTCCCTTATATCGAATCATATTTTTCGCCATGATAGCGTTGTAGCTTTATTCGCGCCAATACAGCTTGATCATGCGCCTTCTGTAATAAGAAGTTCAGAGTATTCTAGAAATTTTAAGGTCGTTTTCTTTTCAGGGTACCTTGAATTCTGTCCGTCGTATTTTTACTTTCACTTTTTCTTGTGATTCCTTTTTCGAAGTTTCTACGTTTTTCCTAGTTCATTTTTTGTTCCTTCCACTGCCTTTTTGATTTTCTTCTATCGTGTCTGTCCAGCATACCTGTCACTCGTCACCCAATCACTGAAGTTACTGCGTTATCTTATTTCCCTTATACTAAGAGCTAACCTCCAATGGGTGTAATTAAGAACATAAATGCAAAGATATATACTGTTCTCAGTTTTTTCAAAAACGACAAAAATTGAAATTGAAATTGACAGAAATTTTCAAAACGACAAATTAAAAATCGTTATTTTTTAATTTAAAATACAAGGCGTGTCCTCAATGGTTCGGCGGGACGATAAAAAGTAAAAGTCCAGTGGCGAGGGCACTTTCGATTCGTCAGGCATCGTGGTAAAAAGTGGTCCAACTCATTAATCGTCTGTTCGAAGCAACGTAATCGAAGTCATTACATAAATCCATTACGACGGGTTTCTAAGTGTAACAGGTTGAATTTTCCTCTATTTCTTCTCTTCTTTTAGTTATCGAAAATTCCATTTAATTTCCCGTTCCGATTACCATTACAACACTTGCTCCTCAAAATCGAAAATCAAATCCTTTCCAAAACGACGTATCTCTTACGGGCACCGGACGCATGCAATAAATGAAAGTAGCCGTTTATTGTACACTTAATATAACATGTAGTAAGGCAAGCATGTAATCGGGTTCTACGGCTGGCAGAAAAATCGATCTTATCGTTCCATGGCTCCATACAGCGATATATATATAATATTACTCAACTTAGAATAAACCACGTTTCCGTCAGAGATCAAGGCAGAATTTCAAACGTAACTCATTGCAAAATATCGAAAGACATTGCGCAAGGGTCCATTTTTACGCACAGGCAGTGCGTTCTTTTCATGTTCCACGTGATCGGGATTAAAATATACAAAGAGAACGATCTTCGATGGATCTTCTTCCGAATTCAAGCAATATGGCGGTCGGTGAAATTCCGGCGGAATTGCATGGTAAAAGGTAAAAGGCTGAAAGTGTTTGGCCGCCGGTGGCAAAGGGGACTTTCGATTCGCATTGATGTCGAGGAGGAAACCGTGTGTTCGTCTCTCGTTTATAATCGTCATCTCGTTTCGTCCTGCTCGCATCTCGTCTCAGCCTCTTTCTCTCCCCTTCGTGATCTTTCTCTGGTCGCCACATGAGAATCTAGGTCGCACGGCTGCGTTCACCTTCCAGCAAAGCAATGTCTTCCAAGGAAGGTCGTCGCTCGTCTGGAAAGACTCTCTTCTTGACCATTCTTTTCCCTTTCTTTCAATTATTATTCTACCGGTGTTACTCGCATCAGCGAGTTCCTCGGATCGCCTGCGTCATCAAGCTCCTTCAAATCGCTGACTTTAATTGGAAAAATCAGAAAAATCTGACTTAAACTGCGAGCTACTTGGGTTAGATACAGTTCGTCTTAATGGTTGACTAAGATCGTTCGTTGAAAAAAGGAAGGACAAAATGGAGCGACTTCGAAAGAAGATGAAACGGCAATTGAACAGTAATCGCTGTCATCCCCGCGAGCAATCATATCGGGGGTACGCTTTTTCTAAGCAGAGATTAAAACGTCTCGCTAATTAGCCCTCTTATTCCACCGGTTCGCCGGTAATTAGTCGCAAGCATAATTAATTGAACGTCTCGATCAATCAAGGCAGACCGCTCCCTGCAGACTAATTAGGCCCGTTCATAAGCCGGTCATTGTTCCTGGAATCATTGTCATCATCGACCATGCGTATTGTGCTCTTTAGAAAGCGCGTGTGCGCACGTGGAAAATATTCACGTACACATATACACGTGCAAGTAAAATACACGCGTATACGTGCACGCATATGTGTCCTTTTTTCCGTTTCTTTTTCTTTTCTTATCTGATCGTTCACAATTTGACGAAGGCAGGAAACGTTTTCCATGGGAGAGACAATTCACTGGCAACTTGGCCCCTGATTCTACCACCCGTCGACCACAGAGGTTCTCGGTTAATTGACCCCGACTAATTAGTTATCGCTGCTACACTGACAATTATTAGAAAGCGGTGTGTATACTCACATGTAGGCAGTTGCTGGGGTATTTGGGCGGCGTATGTGGTGCTGTGCCTCGCTATTGTAATCTGGAAAGAAAAAAAGGAGCGATGCTCGTTAGATCGTCCGGAGAATCGTTTGTCCCTAGAACGATAACAGGAGAACAACAGGTGGCGTGGGACAGTGGACGAAGCTTTAGAAATTTCGATTCTACTTCGTCCTTCCCTTCCCCCGTTCGAGCACCAATGCGTTGTCATTGACGGGAACAATGGATGGTAATTATCGGTTTTGAATAGAGGTATCAGAAATTCGAGGGAACATGGGAGCGAAGAAAGCGGTACATGAAAAGGATACCGATAATGATCTGTTGGCCACGGAATCTATGACTGATACCCGGATCAAAGAGCGCGTCATCGATGGAAAAGTCTTCGCGAAAATGTCAGACCGAACAAGATTCGTTCGACTCTCTCCAGTATCGCTCGAAGCCTGTATGAATCATGCGATTTCAGAGCTGTGAGGAAACACGAGAGTCCGTTTCTCATCGATTAAACTTGATTATTCGCCACGGGGACTCGTGGAAAACGTGCCGATGGCGTACAGTCTCGAGGACAATTAAAGACACCCGATCTGTCTCCGCACAATGCTAGCATCTTCTCATCAATTAACTTTTACTCGCCAAATTCCACGAGAAAGGCTGTCGTACCTACGGAATTGAATCTCGAAGTTATTGGAAGGACACAGAAAATCACCTCAACGACCGATCCTTTCGATTAATTCTCATTATCGACGCCTCGGTTAGAACTGTTTGCACGAACTGAAATTAACTTGGATCGTAATCGAAAGCGTACAACCTGACGAATAATCGATAACAAGAACAACAAGTTCGATGATTAATTTCACCTGTGAAATCTGAGCTGCTGCTCGTTGTACAAGGTTGTAAATAAGAGACTTAAAGGCGACTGCTTGTATATGGTAAGGCCGATTGGATAATGGAAAGGACGAGCATCATGTTCCAAGCCTAGATCGTTCCTAATTACCCTATCTGCTAAAACATACCATCTTGTAAGAGCGTTCAAAGATTAACTGTGACTAGGTACAAGCATTGTAATTACGAGCCATCGCTGGCCTTATCATTCGCGTAGTAGGAGCTGCCAAGGCGTACTCTATAAATGCAGAGTGGGACGTAAAAAATTGACGATCATCAACAACGACATAAATATTTACGCGATCTTCCATCATTCGTATCCTGTCCCTACCTCTGAAGCAAATTCACGAGGAGCGAGTAAAACTTCCACAGCGGAACAGACGTTCTCCAACGCGGAATGAAGACAGTGAACGAACAAGGGCACTCGAAGCACCTTTTACTCCCTCGACACACTTTTATTTTCCAATCCATGCCAATTTAGGTATCGGCGTTACGTGTAGACTCGCACAACAACTCCACTACGGATTAGGTGAGCGCGTAATAGTTGGAGTTGATCGGTTGCACCGTGTCGATGCAAAGCATTACGTCTGTTCTTTTTCTTGCTCTCAGCCTATGTGGATCGACTTCTTCGTGATGGATTAACGCAACCCTGAACTGGTTTTAATCTGAAGAAAATTGTCACGAACTAACGATGGAGCTATAGCTCGATAACAATGTTCCGTATTAGGAGGTAACTTGCAGCACATAAAATCGCGAGTTGCGTCTCTGAACGGAAAGTGAGAGTTTGCGATACGTTTCTTGCGTCGAAAGCCATGAACACGAAAACGTGTGTATTAGAGAAATTGTCTAATAAACACCGACGTCAACCTTCTTAATGCATATATCGGTGTGCGCCGATGAAAGTGGTTCAACGAGTCAACGGCCATTTCGTACATGCTTGAGTAAGTACTACAAATACTACGAAAGCTATTAAAACGTTCAGACTAGTTTGATTTATTCGAGGAAAGTCATTTTGAAGATAGAATCTTCCAATGAAGTACATGTATCATCCTTGAGACAATTTTTAGCACAGGAATAGTCTCACAGATCAAGACCAACCTATTCGTAGTCACTTGAAGAGGAAAGACTCCCAACTTGGAAAAATCTGAAAGCCGCTATCTCGCAATTTTCCACATCCAACGAATCGTTTCAAAAAATACACAGCTTGATCAATATCATCTGGCCACAGCGTCTCGAATGTAACGCGATAATCCGGAGAGTGAATTTACCCATTTGCGACGCAAGGAAACAAGTGCGTTATCAGTGTACTCTTTCAAAGATAATTGAGAAAAAAGAAAAAGAAGAGAATTTTAAAAATTTCAGCATATATTAGAATCTTCGAGTAAGTACTTAATCTTGGAACACAATCTTCAACACCTCGCAGTCATGTTCGTGTCAAATCGCCTCATTGTAAGGCGTGTCCGAGACGTAGGAGCACAGAACTCGTGTTATAGTGCGGAAGGTTACTTCTCCGAGTTCTATCGGATAGTGGAACTCCCCGAGTCCCATATATGGCTAGAATCTCATACAGAATTCTTAGCTATACGTTTCCACTCACGTCCACTGCATTCAGTCCAATTATACATAATCGCGAGGATGCGATGGAAAATGCAGAGGCAGTTTTGCAGAAAAAAATCCGTGAATACCTCGAGGATGAGACCGATCAAAGTGCAGACCTACTTCTACGGTCGCGCGTTTATGTTTCAAGGATGAGACTTCGGTCGTGACTTGGTACTTACGTGTCAAAGTTTTTTTAAATACCACTTTATACCCTTACTATATTATCATATTCCTGTATTTAACATCTTATTTTACTTTATCGTCGCGTCGATGCCTTGTCGTCACGCATAATTTTCCATTAAAACGAATGAATTATAATTTGTCGTCCTTCGTGAGTGGAAGAACTATGGTTAATGAAGATTTCAAACGGCATCTTTAATCATTCGAAAGACAAATAAATTTCACGCAGAGATGTCTCGCAGTTGTCACCACTGAATGAAATTCTTGTACCGAGTGTTATCTATAATATACCACGCAATTAAACAGAGAACGTGTTACACATCGTCCTCGGAGCATTTGCATAGCGTTCTGTCTTCCGTTTATTTTCAATTTAATGACCCTCGATCTTGATAAAACTTTGATATCTTTCCCTCGCGGCAAAACGATAATTCTACGTCCTCTTTCGAATAGCAGGAAAATATGGTAGACGATGGTTGTAGCGGAAGTAATTTTGGAATATAATTGAACGTGATTCCTCCCATCACACGATGTTGTATCTCTTCCTTCACCCTTACGGATAAATGACGGTGCATAATCATTTTTAAACGCGACCATTAAACTCGGGATATTGTAACTTATTTCTTGTTCGGGAGTTTAATGAGAACATAGAGCCACGTAAGAAACATGCACTGATGAATATTTTCGTGCGTTATAATCTACCTCAGAGCGAGCAAGTTATCAAGTGGATCAATGGGTAATCGGATCGACATAGTCGCGGATCTAGCGTAGGTAGAGGTCTCCTTGAAAACGCCTCCCATCGCGCGATCCTGCTGGCATAACGCAAGTTACATTAGTCATTCGCCTCTACCCGATTGTTATATCCCCTATAAGTATCTCCATGACGTCATTGCCGCGCGCTTTTGGCTAAAATGCATCTCAATCTGCATCAACAGCAATGGGCTTCTCCCGGAGTTCTTTATTTAGACATACCCATGAAGTTTTTTCTCGATGAAGCAATCTCTTGGCCGATAAGTCTCTTAACTTTCGTAAAGAACACGTAAAACGTAGTTTCGTCGAATGGTTCAATCTTCTAAAGTGTTTCGAACATCATAAAATCCTTGAGACCCATTTGTATTAACTGGAAGATAAATCTCTCCCCAATTTCGGCAATCTTTCTAGTACGACTTCAGAGAACATTCTGGAAACAATCGATAGAGGCAGATTCGAGATAATAAACGAGCATTGTTGAGCGTGACATGTCCCTGGCAGAAAAAAGCTATCGAAAGTCGCCGATGTTGCGTGGGTTTAGTCAGAGATTGCAGACTCTCCGTGAAATTCCGCCTTTCAGAAGGACACCCACGCTCTCTTCTTTAACACGTTCCTGTCGCTCATCGAGATAGCCGTTCTGAATTTAAAATTCGGTTTATGTCATTAGATCGGATTTACACGCTCCTAGAAGAACGTCCTTGTGGACTGAGTTACGTAAAGCGATGGGATTCGATGAATCGATGAAAAATTATTTACGCAATGCCCGTTCTAAACTTGGTCGCGTCACTGACGACTTTCTCTCGAGCTAAAACAAACGTGATTTTCTTGACCGTTCCTCGCGATAATGTTCCTCCATGTACATGTCCATAACTAAGAAAATGCAATTACTTTGTCCTTTAGATCAATCTTGAGTTTCAATTCGTAATTCGATCTTTACTAACGCTAAACTCTTTATTAAACGTTCTAATTTTAGGCACTCCTGGAAGACATCTGAACGGATGGTCGTTTAATTATCTTCAGTATCGTATACAATCGTAACTTCGTCACGATATAATTATCGTTGAAAGTAAGCTGTTACGTATCTATTAGACACAATTATCGCTAGAATCGAATAGCAATTATTATAACAGGATTCGAGATGGGCAGATGAGGATTTCAGAAATTTGCTGCATCTCGTTGACATCATTCTTGCATACGTCTTGCATCGATTATGTTGATCACTTATAATGTATCGTGCAAATAAACTTAAAGTTAGACATAAGCATCGTTTTTTAGAGAACAGCGAGGGTTCACTCTCGGTTTACCAGTCTCTTGGTACGTGTGAATTACTCGTAAGGGAGAGTTTTACTGACTTCCGGTATCGATTCTCCTATCGACTTCACGGTGAAACGTTTATGAAAACGAGCTGCAGGGAGCTCTCTGAGATCCTGCGCCGATATTTAAAAGAACACCGTGTAAAGGTGGGTGTGGCTATTCTGTATGGATTCTGTCTCTCTCGCTGGTGTGCAAAACGCTCGTTCAAATATTTGCGAACGCTTCAAAATTTCCATGTACTATAATTTTTATGCGGGAACATGCTCGGTAGATTTTCTCCCGTTCCTTTTCTCCCTTCCTCGTCGTTATTCGGTAAATTTCCAATCTTATACGTCCCTCTCCTTCAACGCGTCTCTTCAGAGACCTTTCGAAACTCATACATTTCGCGGGACGATACTTGGAAGTGCCTTATTTGCATTCCAGATGATCCATCGGTCAGGAATTTTCGTCCATTCTTCCGAAGGACGCTCAGCGTTCTATAAACCTTTGCATCTCCTCGAGAACTTCCAGTTTTTCGCGAGAACCTGCTCCAGACTCTTTCCTTTTTACATATGTAAATGTCCGTAGCATCGAGAGGTAGCGAAGAATTCAACGCTGGGCAAGCGTAACAAGCATCCACTTAGAAATTCGAGTTTCCCGAGTGACGATAACTTCTACCCGAACACTCGCTCGAAACGCTTTCTTCTCTTAAACTTACAATTTCTACCGAGATCGAGATTTTACTTTGCACACGTTCGTACATTCACTATCCAGATCGATGTCTGTTCCAGAGTAGAAAAAGCAAGTTGCACGAGCATGTTGGCATCAAAAACGTATCATTGCCTAGACTTTTAAACCGGAAGCACTCTAAACACCCGCTTGCAGGAATCCTCCGTGGTTCTAATCAGCGTAATTCTAAGTTTTCAGTACAATCACGTTATTAAGCCATGCACGGATCCATGATTGCAACCTTCCGAATGGGTTAACGACATCGAATCCACTCGTCTTTGTCAAGAGAGAACATCGTTTTATTTTACAAGGATGTTCGCTGTGATTATCATAAAAAGAGCAAGTATCTAACACAAATTATCTCGCGCAGCCTTCATTTCGCGATTGCTCTGGCAACAGGAAAGTTCGTAACGCTTGTTAAACACGAATGGAACAAAAACTGTATCACTGCAATCAATACCGTCGTAGATGCCAATGATTCTTTTGGTCGAAACTATCCCGAGGCTTGCAAAAAGCTTGAATATCTCTTATCCTGGCAGAAATATACAGCAACTTTCACGAGTAGTAGAAAAATCAAACTTCTTGCCGACAGATCGTCGCTTGACGACAAATTGTCAGATTTTTCGTATTCGAAAAATGCGATGATATCGTCGAAATGAATCATTGCATTTAAAATTAATGTCGAGGTGAAAAATTGCCGGGCATAAAAAATATTGCAGCCGTCTCGACACAGTTTTCTGGGCAGTCTAGTCGGTTTAGCGGGACGTTGTACCAACAAAGGATTACATAATTCCCCGCATTCCTGGCCAACATACTACGCTCCCCAATCACGCTTATTTTTCGTTCAACACGATACAAGAGAAAGTATCGTACACTGGATTCGTTATAGGTGATCTAAATCGAAATCGAACGGAAACGTACAAACCAGTTGAAATTAAACATCCAGCTGTTTCTTCTCGTGGCGAAAGGTGTCGAATATGTATACATGTATGTCGTAGGGAAATTTCATACTGTAGCATTGGTTTCGTTTATATTCATTTGTATATACTTCATGAGATATGTTTGGAAATACACGTATCAATACAGCTACAAAATCCAAGAAAGAAACCAGGTCGAGTTGCGTCAGCAGTGGAAAGAATTAGGGGTCCATGGTTAACGTAAAAGGGCTGAGACAGTTCAGAGATTGTTAACAATAGATTCTTTCCATTTACTTACCAACAAAAATGCCAGTGCGACCCCTCGCCAGTCCATGGCTAAAATAAAAGAGAAAGTCTTATTAATAACTGGGTCGAACTCCCATGAGTATGATCGACCGTGCAAACGTCTCTAGCGCGAGAACACTTGCAACAAACACGAAGAATCGCACGATTACCCGTATATCTTTTTTGCTTAATACATCCACTCGATATTCTTTACTCGTGTGTCCGATTAAACGTCTCTAACCACAGTTTTTCAGGCTTCGATCCGTGATTCGCTAAGGGTTCAACAGGGCTCTGACACTGAAAAATCATTCTCTATTCCTACGACATTCCCCAAAACGCATAGAGCAGGCTTTTCGGTCATCGTTAAGATCGGTAGCTCACGTAACACATCGAGGTTCGAGATTTTGTACGATTCATGAACACAGGGAACTTCCCTTGCTCTTCCCGCATCGTGATCATACACGGCAACGACAAAGAAAAATCCCAAGCCTCGAAGGATTTCGAGTTTTGGCGAAGGGAAAACGTTTGCGTACTGGTTAGCAGAGCTGTGCCGGGTGGTTCGAGAAAGCGACGCGGTGTTTCGCGAAGGTGGCCGAACATAACGCAACGTTCACTTTTTCGAGCAATAGGAGAGGCCGGTGCACGGAACAGGAACGACCTCGAGCACACTGGACCACCGTGCTTGACCGTAGCCCTTCCACGCGGGCGCCATTTTCACTGCGCGACGGTCCGCTTACGATTTTCGATTGCACATGACGTCGCGACGGCACGAATCGCGGGATTTTACGAGGCTGGTCGATCGACATCCCGCGAGGTTCTGCCACCTTTCCACCTTTTCTCGCCACGGCCAGGAAAGTCAGGCTCGTACCTCGTGAGTTGATGCACTTGGGAACCCAGGGCCGTACGATTCTCTACCTTTCACTTTCTCCTTGTCACGCGGAAATTTATTTCTCTTTGGCTTTTCGTCGTTTGCATTTCAGAAAGAAAAAAAGTTACCCGTCGATTACGATGGAAATATCTTCGTATTGTTCTTTTTACATAACCTATTTGCTTTTTCCATAATCACCACCTTTCGTGGATAATCTTTTACTCTTTCGCGCATTTTGAGATCGCTGTTTTGCCTTCGCGTCTTGACATCCGCGCAGATCGTGAGTATAGAAAGAGTACAAAGCGGTGCCCACGTCATGGCATACCGGGCATTGAAGTCACCGGTGACTTCTGTCGCGTAAGACGGATTGTAGTCTATACGCGTGCTTTCGCGCTGTTACGAAACTCCAATATTTATAAGTAAAACAATAGTCATTAGATAATCCCGACACCATTTCGTGGAAAAAGACCAGTGTTTTAACGTTTTAACCCCAGCGAGAATGTTAATTACCTCATCCACTGTTTATAACTCGCTAAAATATCTAAGATCCTTGTCCACGTATACTTGATATACCCCGGTTGTTAATTCTCGGACTAAAAGAACGAGTGAACGTGAACAATCCTTGGCGCCTGCATATTTGGTCAGCAGTGCCACCTACAAGGATGAACGAGCCTTGTACCCGTTTTCGTGTAGTTCCATTGCATAACGCCGTTTCATTAAACCGACTATGAAGTCCACGTTATACCCATTCAGCCGTTGGCTGTTTGCCCCTCCATTTTCCGTGCGTGTCTCCGCAGCATGCTCGAGAAAGGAAACGGTTGCTTCCACGCTGTTGGCGCAGCTGTCAGCCGTTCTCGCGTTACACCCCTCTGCCCAACCACTTTTTCAAACGTATCTGCACACCTCCCTCGCGTCCCATAGGTATTCTCGTGGAACGGTATTGGCATCGAGGTCGAAATCATGCTTCTACGTCGGGAATTTACGAACGAAATACCAACACTACGACCGGATATAAATTCCCAAGTGTAGAAACGATTTTCGGGGCGTCACGCGGCGTAGGCAACGAGTCTGCGACGATTTTTGAGAAATTTGGCAAAGAACTTGGCATAGCGCGCGTGCCAGGTAGTAATCGAGAAGCAGAAGAGAGTTCTTACGACTTTCGACGCGTGATTTTTAAACGATTTCTTGGATGAATTCGGTAGAATTGATTAACCGACCGCGAAGTAAACGTTTGCAAATTAGATTTCATCGAAGAGGAAACGCATCTTCATGATATATGCGCACTCGCTTTTGACGACCTTAAGAATGGAGAACTATTTAAATCGCGTAATTTCCCTACTTTTTGGCTTATTAATTTTCCGTTTCTTTCTTTTTTCACCTATTGACAGTAAGTTAATAATTCGTAGATCTTCCGTGCTAGAAGATATTACTCCATCTTGGTGTTATTGCGATTAAAGACGTAAAACCCAAAGAGTTTAACAGGCTTTTAACTCTGTATTCCCGTGCGACTCCATCTGATAGAACGAATACATTAGGCAAATCGAGTAAATGTATCATTTTGTAGAATTACTCGTAAGAATGCTTACTTTACAAGGTAATCGTGCGACAAAATTGTAATTGTCGATAGCATTGAGATAGTGTTAGCGACAAGTATCGAGTAGTTAATTACTGAGATATCTCACCTGTCGGATCAGACCGGTTCACCACCAAAAATTATTCCAATCACCGACGACTCGCGATACCCGGTTGTCTTCGACCGGCAATCTCGCCAATGAAATAACCGATCGTTTTTTCACTGTAGTTGCGAAACAGCAAGTCGAAGGAGCAAACGGGAGAAAAAAAGAAGAAAGGGAAAAGTCAAAGAGGATCGCGAGAATCGCTTTTTAAATAGCACCGGAATTCGTCGTAATCACCAGTTCGATCTGCCTCGTGGATCCGGCTCGTTCATCATTAACACTTCCGGTAGTACACGAGACTCGTCAAATAGCGTCGAAAACGCGTTCTCGCCGGCCATAAAGTCCATTTCACGCACGTCGACATCCCCAAATCGTGGATGATCCCTCGATGACGCTTCTTCTCGGTCATTTACGAGACTCGAAGTCTCTACAATTCAGCTCGTGTTCACCAGCGGAGAGACGACGATCATTGTTGCCTTCTCGTGCTATAGAATTGTACGCTATTCTCGCAACTGATATTGTCATTCAGGTATCTCTTATTCCGAGGTAGAGTTAAATTTTCTTAAAAATTTTCTTTTTCTAAAGATAGGACTTCAATTTGGCGGATTTCTTTTGGGATTCTGCTTGCTTTATTATTATTAAAAGCAAGATGTTCGTTTTTCTTTTCTTTTTTTTCAAAATAGACCGACTTCCACCGCGAATATTCCCATACTCTGTCAGACTATTCTCTTCGCGTGTTTTATTATCGCCACTGCACCACACACCTGCCGGCGGTTCGTTGCTCTGGAAAGAAGCAGTCGAGCATGGAGAGAGTCAAGTAATAGAGAAATCTCCTGCGATCGACGCGAGGCTCGAAACTGCACTGCTCTTCGTCCTCTCTGCACGGTCCCTGTTACCTCTGTCTTCCCCTCACAAACAAACGATGGCGAACCGTCTAGAGGTGAGAGGGGGAGAACTATGGAGAGAAGCAATGATATGCGCTACGGATTGAAAAAACAGAGACAGATGGTTTTCGTTTGTGAAGAAAGGAGGACCGATAAAGCAAATAAATTTAAGGAGAACATAGGAAAAGAATAGCTCTGGTTATTTCTTGTAAAATAGTGGAAATGAAATAGAACGTGTGGTGTTAATATTCGCTTTTGTATTAAAGAAAATATGACCTAAAGAAAGATACGAGAGAATGAACACTAGAGAAACAGAGAAAAACAACTTGTAATAATCTACGGAATATTTGAGCGATCAACCGATAGAGTGCGACACCAGAGCGTTTCTAGAACCATGAACGACGAATTGATTACAAATTTCTGTGAACGAAATTTTAATATTGAAATAATTTGAGTAATCCATCCTATTACTTGATTCGAAATGCATTCCTACTTTACAAATACTTTTAATATTATTTTATAGTATCCTCTATACCTTTAATACAAACTTGAAAATTCTGAGCTGAAAAACATATAAATTGAAAAATTTAAGAACAGCTTTGATACTTTCGTATTAAGAATACAAGACTTTTATGTGTTTGGAAAGCATGCAGCGAAACTAAAATCTTTTGTTCGCAATGTACCTTAATACCGTTGCTAGCGATAAGATATTCGCGAAAAAGGGGTAGAAGAAATGAAGTAAAAGAAGGAAAACGTCTACATGTATTAAAATGAAAAGGATAGGTTAAACTTACGTCATCGCCTGGGTTAGAAGCTACACCGCGTTTCTCTTGAGAAGTATAAAGAAATTTTTGCAACTTTCCTAGTACAAATACATGTTACTTCTTGTCACTATATACATTCTTTTAATATTATCATGTAATAATAAATTTTACGTAAACTTACTCGCATATAGGTTGAAGATTTTCATAATATTAACTTTCCAAGAGAATGAAATTTCTAATACATATGATACATATACATATATGGTAATCAAAAATATGAATTAAAATCATTTACAAAATGACTTTAATATTATTTTGTTATATCATATTTACTGCATAAATCTACGACATAAAATCATATTTCAATAATTCGAATAGTTTTATCGACATAATTACACATCAATTTTGTTTCCTTTTAGTCATAAAATTTTCTTTTAGTTAGAATGTGAGTACTCTGTTACATTTATTCCAAATCAAATTTATTTAATGAATTAATATGTGACATTTAATTGATTATTTTTACATATTAAATATCATACTTTTGACCGACCAACGTAACGAATGTACAATCGGTAATTTACCGATATGTAGCTACACTACAAGTACCACATGCTTTAGACTAAAATAAGTTAAAAATGGCGCTTGTACGTTGTGTTAATACAAATTTTGGTTTTGTGTTAAATACATCTTATTGTAAATGTATAAAATATATAAAAAGGCTTATAATGAATAACAGTTGTAAAACAGAAGATATCAGTTACAGTATGCTTGAATTTAAAAAATTCTTATTACCATAACCTCATTCACAAAGTTTTTGTCATTTAATAGTTATATTTTTTCTTCTCTTATTTTATTTATAAATTTGTTCCTAACTTCATATTAATTATACTTTATTAATTATTATTAATACTACAGTAATTATACTACAGTCATTGTTTATCACATTCATTAAAGACTTTTTACTAGTTTAAATTTTAATATTAAATATTATATTATATAATTGAAAAGTATGCAATATTTAAGAAAAGATTATGATTAACTGTACAAACTACCGCAAAAAAATATTATAGTTAATCTCATATTTAAATTACTTATATTTAACCTATGATAACAAATATTAATATTATAATAGATATTATTTAATAAATATTAGTAATCAAAGCAAAATAAAATATGAAATATATTTTGTAGATATATCTGTAAAATCATTCAAACAAATGATTAGCCTTAGAGAACTAGAAGCAAAGAAGAGTATTTTAGTAAATGTAGGTAATAGAAAGCATTGTGATCAATTTATAAATTTATGTAGCAAGTATGTGAAGATTAATAATGTATATCGTTATTCTACCAGAAAAAATGAAGTAGGTACAATTTCTTACGATTTTCATAATTCTTTAAAAATTATATATAGTACTTAATAAATAATTTCTGTAAACATTTTATATCATATTGTAGAAGTATATGTTATTGGAATTAAACTCATTAACGGAGGTGCAGCAAATTAAATCTATGTGTATAAATGATATCACCCAAAATGATATTTATGTTAAATCAAATGTATTATCATATAAAGATAAAAATACTTCATATATTACGAAACAAGGACTAAATACCATTTACAAAATATTGGAACCAGAAGATTTAAAAAATATATTAGAAAAACAGAAATCTGTACTGTATTATCATACTAAATTAAAAATAAATTACATACTGTAATACAAAGAGTTTTAATATTTTAGGTATCAATGCAAATGGTTACTCTTTATAATACATTGAAAATTACAGATTTAGACATAAGGCTAAGATTTTTTATTGCACATCAGACTGCAGTCTACTTAAAGAAATTGTTTACCAATATCTGTATAATGCCATTTGGATCATCTGTTAATGGTTTTGGTCAAATAGGATGTGATCTTGATTTATTATGTACAACTCAGGAAAATTACATTACACCTAGTGTAAGTGTAAAGACATCATCAATCTTTTTCTAGCTATATAAAAACTGACTTTAATAAATTCTGATTTCAGCAAAACAAATTCCATTTTATGGCAGTATCTGTTAATACTAAAAATCTAATCAGGCAAAAACAATTCTTAGAAACAGTAGGTACAGTAATGAATATGTGTATTCCCGAAATTGGAAATGTAAGAAAAATTCTCCGAGCTCGAGTTCCTATAATTAAATTTTCTTACTTAGCTACTGATACAGAATGTGACCTCTGTAACTCAAACACGTATGTAACAAATGCTTTTTGTTTTGTGACATGTGATTTCTTTTAATATTATTTGCTTAGGTCTGCATTAGAAATGTCGAAAGCATTATATACATATGGACTGATGGACTGGCGCATTAAGCCACTTGTTTGCACTATACGTACATGGGCAAGAAAGATGCTCATAACAAAGGAAATTCCAGGTTCATGGATAACAAATTATTCTCTTACTATGTTAGTTTTATTTTATTTACAAGTGGAAAAAATATTACCTTCTTTAAATATTATAGAGTTTAACACAGGTAAATAGGTACAATAAAAGTATTTCTTGTGCGTGTATTATATTAAAATTCATATTTTTGTTTGCAGAAAATATTACTCCAAAATTCCAACTACAATGTACACATAACCAGTTGTCGGTTAATAAGACAATGCATAACAATGAGGAATCTTTGTATAAACTATTGCATGGTTTTTTTCAATACTACAATTCATTCAATTTTGACAAACATGCAATTTGCATACGAGAAGCAAAAATTAAGACAAAATCAAATGTATCACCTATGTATATTTATAATCCATACAATTATGATTTAAATATCAGTCAAAACATTAATGAGAGTGAATTAAAATATATGAAAGATCACATTCAGAAAGCCTTAAAATTATTAAATACAGAGGATTGCACTATTTTGAATCTATTAGGGTTATCGAAAACGAAAACAACATCTACATGTACATTAATTCCCCACAATCATAATGTGAAGAGTGATAAAAATTATAGCAATAATGAAAAACAAAGTAATAACAAATCGATTGCAAATGAAATCGACATTGTCACTGTGAGAACAAAAGAAAAAATGTGAACAGATAATTGTAAATATAATGTCATCATAAGTTAATTGATACGCAATTTTATATATTTCATCTTATTTGTAAGAATATTCCCCTCTTTGTAAATTTTAAAATAATTATAAGTTCAATCCATTCAGTCAGTATTTTACTGAGGCTTTTACTAAAATTCCAAAATAAGAAATAAACCAATGTATTAATAATGTGAAATAAATCATATAAAAAATATTTTTAAATATACTATTAATATGATATATAATATAAATATGCATATATAAAGATAGACTTTAGTAAAACCAATTCATTAAATAATAATTAAAATATCTATCAATAATTGAACAATATTTATGCTTTATAACTTGTATATTTCTCTATTATCGACAATTCGACATTTTTCATACATAATTAGTCGTGTACATTCACTATGGTTATAATTCATTATGATCTGTACAAAGATCATAATCATGTTAATCCTTTAACGATCATGTTATTTTTCACGAGGAACCTTCGTTTTTCATCGTAAAAGCTGTATGCTTTTCGCGACACAACCATTTTAAACATTTGACACACGTGTATGTTATTGTAAAAACATTTATCACAATCATACACCTATGCAATTGGAGCATAACCGGAGACGATGGGTCCTCGTGCATTTGACAAATTACAAGTACACTTGTAATTAGGCTATCTTTTTTGTCAGGACAAGCTACTGTCGCTTCGTTTTCTCATGTACAATCGATAATTCCTCCATCATTTAATTATAGAGATTCGGTAATACGCTGTATAAAGTACCTTCGACTTACTATATATAAATTCTAATTTTTACGAATTAATTTTGATCATTTAATTTATAAAATTCATTCTTCATAATCCAATTCTAAGCCCAAGTTAAAGAAAATGCACGATTTGAGCAGCTAGGAAAATTATTTCCTTTCTTTCTTTTCTTCTTCTCCTTTTTCCTCTTCTTCGTAGTAATAATAATAGCATTAATTAAATCCTAACTCTGTATATACCCACATGTAATTAATCGACGTTTTCCTCTAACCCTAATTCGAACCTCTGAATGCTTACACATCACATAAGGGCTGCATTAACAGTAAGAGTACCATTCATAAATTTCATTTTTTCTTTTTCTTTGTTATGTATGTATATATAATATGTATACTTCTTTTACGTATTATTTTACTATTGGCAGCGATATTATGACCTTCGGCGCTTTAAAGTGCAATCAAAATGCCATTCGATAAAAAATTGAGGACTGCTCTATGTTGAAGGCTAGTTGACCCTGAAACAACTCTGACTAGACATACATGGGAGTAGAAGTTACTCGACTAATTATATAAGATGATTATACAAACGTTGAAAATACTTTTTGGTCCAGACCGAAAAATAAAACATTCGAAAAATTTACGATGGTTCGTAACAATAATAACATGCAGTTGTCGAAGGTGCTTTCATCGGTGGCAGTTTATAGCAATAAACGAGATATAATTTGTAAAATCATCTTCGTCTGTAGTATTATATACATCATACGAAATGCCCTTTCTTTTTATTATGATACTTCTAATAAAACGTTCAAAATACTCGGAAAAAGATCCTCGTAATACCATTTTGTGCAACAGTATCTTCTTTCTTCTAATAACAATGTGTTATCGTTCAACAAGGTACAGTCCTTTGTTAATACTTTCTCCAATGTATGCTAGACATTTTTAGAGGGTACCGACTACCATCCCGGACAGTCAAACGCAGTTAAACTATCCTGAACAACCTAGTAAATACTTTTATTTTAATTTCATTTACTTTCTACTTATCATCTACTTTTGCACTTTGACAATCCGGGCTGGATACCTCTTGAAAAAAGCTCCTTAGAACCTTCACCATGGCTCTTCCTCGAACAAAACTAACCGAGTATTTGTTATTTTAGTTTGTCTTACTCTTCCGGTGATGGCGATGTTGGTGTACATGACGATGATGCAGATGCGACCTGGTCTCTTGCACAGCCGCCACCAGTGTTCTTACCGTTTCCTCGTGTCCCTCGAAACTGTCCGTTTTCTTCAGCTGGCTAAGGGACGAGGCAGCACCTTCGCTGGTCGTTACGCTGCGTTTGCTTTTTGGCCGTGGAAATGTTTCCCAGGAACGCTGCTTCTGTACCAGAAACGACGACTTCGGTGTAGGCCTGATCAAAAGTACCAATGTTTTCCTGGGATCCTGCGCGGATTGACCTACCGTCCCATCGACGATGCTCGATCGCCTGCTTCCTGAGCCGGTGGTACTCAAACTGTCGCAGCTTGCACGTCGGCGCCTTCTCACCTCCACGGAGGCCTTCTCATCCGCATAAAACACGTCCTCTGAGTCACTGGCTGGATAGACCTTGCTTCCCTTGCCTATAGTAATTGATTGTTCGTCCGGAACCGCATGTACCTCAGCTTGGACACGCTTCTTGGCCTCCCCCGTGCTGGATGCCTCCGAAATTCGTTGATATTCTCCTTCTTCTCCTGCTAGAAGTATGTGAATGATATAAATGAATAAATTAGGATGATAAAATCAAATACATCGCATCATGCGTCCTCCTCTGAGAAATGAATTATGTTAATGCTTTAAATAAAGAATCAATTTTAATGTAATTTACTCAATGATTGCCATAAAAAAGGGCAATAATATTAGAATACATGGTTTGCAAGTGATGTTTGGAGCAAGAGATTTAAACGATATATTTAATTGAAGCGTGCATTTGCTGATACAATATTATAATTGTAATTTTAATAATATTTCAAGCGAAAAAAATTCTTCAATCGTATAATTTCAAAAAGCATGGAAAAATTATCCAGTATATTATTGATATCAATTACATCGTTTTAAGTATATAATGCACATATTTGACCTAAAACGAACCACGATGTTCATCGACTTATACCTTTATTAAATAACCGGTATAATTTTAAATAAGAATAACATTTGGCCACACTCGTCATTCCTGAGTTGGGCGCGATAGTATAATAATTCTTATGTACATTTATCAGGGTTTTATTTACATCGATATAAATGCTATCTACATAATCCTCTGAATTATCATCAAAGTATCATTCCAAGCATCAGACTTCTTTTTATCAGTGCTATTTACTCGTACATACAATCCATCACAGATCTACTCTTACCAGTCGTATGCGACTGTGGTTGCTGAGAATCCGTACACCTCTCCGGTTGATCAAGTCCTTCAGCAGAATTATCTCCACTACCACCTTTCAAAGATCGATACAAAGAACGCATTTTGCCAGCAGACCAGTGACCATGCGGTGTCATAGGCTTTGTACTATCGGGCGACTTCCTCGGTCGTCGACTCTGACTACGATCACGACTCTCCTCTCTCCCTGGTGATTTTTTACGATCTTCTTTACTCCTAGCTTTCTCGATCAATTGACTAAGCACTCCCCTTTTTGGATCCGAAGACTTGACCGTTCCATAGACGATAATATTTCCGCTCGAGTCTAAGGCAGCTTCAACATTAGCAGGAGTACGACATCGTGGTACTTCTTTCGTTTCTAAATAAAAAAAAAACATACGTAATCTTGAAATTGAAGTGTTATGAAATGAAAAAAATACCTTTCATATAAAGTGCATTATCTGCACTAGTGGCTGTAGTACGGGAGTGTCGATGATCTTTGGTTGGTGCTTGGGTCTGGGGTTGCGATGATTCCTGCATATGTAAGCGTGCCAAGTGCAGTAATGCCTGCAAATGCTGATTATTGGCTACATCAGAAGCTGTCATGCTTACTTCACCAGCAGTGACTCCAGTCGCAAAGGATTTTACAAATGGTTCTAATTGTTGAGCAAGATTCTGTAATTGTTTTACCTGATTCCTCAACGATAGAATATCATCCATCTAAACGAACGAAAAAGTTATTAATCCATGTATCTCCAAAAAAAATATTTGAGCTTTATCAATGATAAAACCTAATCAATACCTGAGAATGGAATATTTCTTTTTCTATGCGAATTCTACATAATTGTTCGTCCCAAAATGTATCAAACACATTTCTAGCGCGGTCTAATTCCAGCTGATAATGTTCTAATTGTTGTTCTAGCACTCGACAATCTCTCGCCACCTGTTCATAACGTGTGCCCAACGGAGGTGTGTTGGCTCTTCTCAGAAGCGTTACATCGCGCTGTAACTCCTCTAAACGTTCCTTCACAGTGAGCAACTGTTGATTCAATTCCTTCAGCTGAGTATCAAATGTTCGGCAGTGACTGGAAAACGATCCACCGTCTGTTCCGCTTTTGGCCGAAATCCTCTGAGCAGACTTGCTGCTCTGCTTGGAAAAAAATGTCTTACGTAAACGGCGAGTCATTCTTTTTTAACACGTCAGACGTGTATATGGATATATACGGGTCTGAATAAACTGATACTGACTACCACATCATCGGCTAAGAAACTAACAAGAAACAAAACGTTTTCACGTCTGTCGAAAACAGTCAATTTGCTACAAGAATGACTGTATTCTAATCTGGCTACTAACTACCACCATACGATTAAGTACAAGCCACATCATATATCGAGTAAAATCCTGTAAACAAAAATACTTACACAGAAGTGTGCGCGAGAAATGCAATGAAAAAGAAACTTGTAATATGAACGTAAAGATGGAATTCGTAATCGACAGGTGGCCAGTCTAAATGCATCTAGATACCTGAATCACTGGCGGATCTTGTTGAGCCATCGTGTGAGTTTGATCATATAAAGATTCCTTCGGGGTTTGTGCCTGACCGATGTACGGTTGTAAAGCGCGAGCAAATTCATTCTTATAATTAGTCTTCAAATGTGCAGTCAACAAGGGCGGCTTTGATGGATATCCTAATTGTGCGACTCGAATAAGTCGTTCCAGCATTGGATGAGCTAGCTCAAGAAACTGATATTTTGTTGCACCGCTGGTAAAAACAGTACTCAGCACTATGTGCATTTGCAGTACAGGAAGTGCGCTACTTAATGAAAGCATCTGGCTGCGAACCATCCTTTCCTTTGTCTCAATTTGTCGCTGCAGTTCCGTCAGGACACTTCCATGCGTCTTCGATATAGCCTCCTGCATTCCCTGACAAAAGGAATTCAATGCTCTTTTTTCAGAATCCAAACTATGTCGCAATTCATCAAGTTGAGATTTTAAAGCCAGCACTCCATCTTGCACGCCAACTTGCAGTTCACAGATAGAATTAACAGCTCGTTCCAACTTCTTCGATGCCTGCTGCCAAGCACTTTCAATGTCGACACAGTGAAGTCTAGCATCTGCAGGTATGTCGCGAACACAAGTAGCGCAAAGCATGCACTTGGCACTTTGGCTATACATTATGTATTGTTCTCCATGGGTGGGACAACGACGTTGGGTGTCTTTGGCACATTTACTCATGTGCAATACCTCGTGTGTAGAAAACATCTTTGCACGGTGAGTGTGCTCTCTGCAGTCTGTACACAATGCTTGTCCTGTATTTAAAAAGAATTTGAAGTTCCTCAAGCACATAGTATCACTTTCTAATAATAAACATAAGATAACAAAATATAATATTGTTACATTTGCTACATACCACATGTAGTACAAAAAAACATAGTAGACTTGTCACGCTTATCACAGTTGGCACAAGGTGGATTCTCAGAGTTTGCTAACTCAACTAGCTGACGTATCAATTGATCGGGTGGTGGAAGTTGTGCACCATCTTTCAGCTGTGTCTGTTGCCTATGTACATCAATATATTTTAGATTTGTGAAAACAGGATATAATTGAAAGTATTAAAACTTTAGTAATGATGGAAGAGATATTTTGAGTCTAGGAAACAAATATTATTATAAACTACAACCTAAAGTATATTCTAATGATACATAGAAAGAAAAATATTTCAAGGGATTGTCATAACAAAAGAAAATGATATAATTAAATAGAATTAAAGAATTTCATCCTCCACAATAAATCGGATACACACGTACTTTACAATATATGGATATGTATAAACTAGATATTTGTAAGGGAGAAATGATTTGCAAGTGACACATATAATAGAAATATATCCATATATTGATTTTTATCCTTGTTTCAGTAATATTAATCAAGATATATTATACCCACATAATCTACAACGATATAAAAATAATTTAGATGCCACATATCTTTAAATCCAAAATTGTTGAAGCAAAAATGTATGGAGCAAAAATTCATTATAGAAAAAATGTTGACTAATGTATAAGAAATTTTCTTATCGTAATTGGACAGACATTTATACAAAGATAGATGCTATAGTAGGAAATATAAAAACATACACTTAGTAGCCGAACCTAACCCAGACCTGGGATCGTCACCCACCCTAAAAACACCATGCAATAACAGTCGTTGTTATCTACCCGCAGAAGGGACAGGAGACCTTTCCTTCAAGGTGAGGGCCACGGATGCAGCGGGCACAAAAGGTGTGAAAGCAGGATAGCAGACAAGGCTCGTTGTAATAATTGTGACAGATGCCGCAGATGAGAGGATTCCTAAGCCCACCACCAGTCACGCTTGTACCATCATTTTCGCTGACGTCGACACCGTCGACCGTCGTCTCAGCCGAGTTCGCCATCGTCGGCCAAACCAACGGCGGCCACCTGGAAACCAGAATCCAGATCGTGCTTCACCGATGATCTCGTCAGTATTTTCCTTCATTTTTTGTTTCTTTACGATTACTTCACGTTCACAAATTTGTTACGATTTAATAAAATTAGGTAAAATCAATATGCAACTGCTTGAAACCATCGGAAAGAATGTTTACCCTAAGACCGTTGGCCCGCCCGCCGCAGAAAACCCTGATAGGTACTTTATCGGCTCGTCATTCTGACGTAGTATGGTGGGCGCAAACCCCCAGTTTGCGCCTGACGATCAACTCTGACGTCACTGAAGTACCACAATCTCACCCCCTCCACTAGGTATGGTACGTACATGGTGAAAAGGGGACAGGCTGCTGCTGCTGCTACGTGGTAAGGGTGCACCGGTCTGCACACAAGGTAAATGTGACGTAAGTGTGCAGGGATGGTGATGCACGTAAGTATATACATATATCCACTAACAACAGATATTTGATCCTCTTCCTTGCAATTTTTCTAACAATTTGATAATTCCCATAAACTGTTTAGAAATCTTAAAAATTTTAATGATCTACGCAGTCTAGAGTCTTATTTAAATCCTAATAATTTTTAAAAATCTTGTATCTAGTGAATAGGAAAGAAAATATAAGCAAACAAAATATCTAACTTCTAGAGCACAGTTGCTTTTTATATGAGTATAGAATAAAAATAATTGTATTGTTCTAAACAATAATTTAATGATTGAAATGAATTTCATTCATCATTTATATATAAATTCTTAACATTCACTCGAATGTTGCAAGACAGCAATCGATAATGTATCATTAGGTAATAAAAGGTATTCTAAAAATTATATGTAATGAAATTCCAGATAATAAATGAGTTTTATCACATATTTCATAAATTCAAAGTAACTTCTAACACATTATCAACAGCTAGAAATGCATGTGGTAGTGCTTGGGTTAGATCTATATGCGTGCGAACACCTTCCCTTCAGCACCGCCATTACCTCGTTTTCTGCACTCCTGCAGGGACCTACATATGCGCTAATATACTAAGAGAATCATTCACATACTGTATCATGGCCAGTTTCAGGCACGGTTTAATTAAAGATGACCGATAATTTGATATTTGTGAGAGATATGTTTTGCATATCAACCTGCTTCTTTTTTTGTAATTAAGTTTTGTATGATCCTCTTTTATAGAAATGTTATAAAGTTCGATTAAATCTTCGAAAGGAAGTCGTGACTAACACAAGTGATAAACATTTTAAAAAGGAAATGTTGGTCAATGTGCATCAGTATAGTTTTCCCCTAGATCAGAAGGGCATGAAATATAGCATAATTCAAAAGAAACGAAACATAATTAAAATTATAGCTTATTTTTGACGATCCAGTTGAATTAGTGAGAATAAAGTAGAAGAAAGGCATTTTGCAGGGGCAAAGTAAAATAATATTAATGATAAAATGGAAGAATGATATGTTTATTTACCTAAAATATCAAAAAATTTTTGCAAAAGGTAATGAATGATACAGTCTCTATGAATAATAGGTACACTATAATAATGTTAACTTTGCATACAATTTATTAATTTTCTATAGTTAATCTATTTATGAATATATTTTGGATGACACAAATTTGCTACATGGTAGCGTATTCGATAGGCTTCTCTGAAAAAGATATCAACCAAAAACAATATTAGGATGATCTTTAATGTTGACCAGACGATAAAATATATATTGGTAACCCATAAGCGGGATTTTGCCGCCACGTTGCTATTGTTCGTACATCTAGCTACGTCAGGGCCGTAGTCATGCGTAATCGACATCAAAATCATTGTCCAGTAGATCTCATTTTTTATATGCATAACATATATATGTTTTCATATACTTTTTTATACTAATCGCAAAATTATAAGAAATTTCTCTAAATCAGCCAAAATTTGAAACAGTTTCATTATTCGATACACAAATACCAATGACTTTTCTATATAAAGTTGTGAAAAATAAACTTCCACCTAACATTTCAGATAAGGATAAATCCTCTAACCTGTTTTTACTTTTCGTGTAATATTCATTTTAGACAAAATTACGGAGATAATAAAAATATTTTGACATACGTACACATATCATAGAAATTTATCATATGGAAATTCTAATGCGATTATAACTTACAAAAAATGTATAAATTATGAAATTTATCCTTATTAATAGATTGAAAGTGTTATTAACAAATTGCATAAGGCATAAAAATATTACATATAAATGCATCATGGAAATTTATATTCTAAGATCATAAATAAAGTTTATTAATTATTATATGTATAGTTAGTAACAAATTAATCTTGTTAATAACAAATTGTTTGCAATGTAAATTTATAACAATAATGAAAAAATTAATAAATTGGCTGTTACTTGAATTTATAACGTTGTTGCGTCAAAATGTACATATAATTTGCAAAAAGTTTATAAATTGTTATACCTATTGTTAATAACAGATTAATATTATTAATAACAAATTGTCCGCAACGTAAATTTATAGTCGAAGTGAAAAAATTATTGGTTAAATTATTGGTTATTAAAGCGGAAAAGTAATAATTAATGGATCGGTAAAGTTCGAAAATTTCCGTCAATATTCGGCCGATCGGGGGCTATATAAAGGCAGTCGCTCGGTTGATCGATTCATTTGTCGGTTCGACTTCGGAAATGTAACATCTAAATTTTCGTTGTACGTGAGGTGTGGGGGGCCGAAATGAGAGTGGGGTTAGCTACCCCACCCTCATCCCACCCCGTTAAACAATTTACTAATTATTTTTTTGTTTTGTTTTCAGGAATTAATTTTTTTTTTCTTTTAGGTTTTAATTATTTTTTCTTTTTACAGGTATTAATTATTTTTTCTTTTTTCAGACTTTATTTTTTTGTCTCTATTTATTTTTATTTGAATATTTCGTATAATATTCAAATGTTTCGTCGTTGAGTTGTTTATGTCTCATCGTTGGTTTATTCATATCTCATCGTTGGATTTGGGATAGGTTTTTTCTTCTTTAGATTCTAATTATATATTTTTTTTCAAGATTTTAATTATTTTTCCCTTTTCAGATTTTATTTTTATTTGAGAATTCGAATATCTCGTATGATATACGAAATTTTCGTCGTTGGATTGTTCATATCTCATCGATGGGATGTTTACATCTCATCGTTGAGTTCTTTATGTCTCATCGTTGGATTGATTATTCCATTTAGTCGATTATTGTGGTTTACATTCGATTTATTTTTATTATGTTTTATTAATCTATTACTAATCTGTTTCTTTCCAGCTTTTCAGGTTCTTCAAGACATCGTTGGACGACGCGGGATGCTTGCGTTTAGACCTAAGTAGTTATAAGCAAATAAGATAGATTCCTAGACTAAGTTTCATGTGCGCGTTACCTGTTCACAGGTAAGCTACCTAACTTGGAGCGAAATATATAAATTCTCTATCCCCCTCGTTTACCAAATAGAACATAATTGTTCTCATGATAATCGCGATCGTTCTCGAGTATCCACTAGCCTACGCGACGTACTTCCCGTGTACTCGACAACTCCACGCCTCGTAAGTCATTCTCACGGCTCGTCTCCGACACTCATTTCTGCCACTGTCAGTCTCGTAATGCATCGGGATCTCTGGTGGCCCGCGGGCTGGTGAAGCATCTGGGGCAACACGAGGGTCCGTCGACATTAGTCTTCCTGGGTGCCAATCCGTGCACACGACCGGGGGATGGGCCCTGCAGTCGGAATCATTGCAAGAGCGTGCCTGCCTGCCCCTCCAGCACTCGGCGGCTATGTGGTTATGTTTGCATAGAGCCGGGGTATGGAGCATGCGCGTGATTCCGATTGTTAGGCCTCGCATAGGACCCTCGGATTACCTCCGGGTGTTTCACTGGTTCGTTAGCTGCCTTAGATCATCGAGTAAGCCATGGCGAAGTCGGCGATGGCAGGGTGGGCAAGGCCCGATCGGAAGGGTGCTGTGGCTGGAGTTGTCGTGTACACGGGAGTGCGTCGCATAGGCTAGTTGGTCTTTCGAATAATCGCGTCTCTTTTGTAAGATACGAAATTTAATAAAGTGTCAGTAGAGTCACTTTAACTTAATTCTCTTCAAGTTAGATTAGGCTATCTTTGATACGGATAGCACCAGTAGGCTGCGCCACTAGGGCGCATGTCGTGTCTCGATGCGTAGCCACCACCACGTGGTGAAACCTGGTAATTGACATCGTTTTCCTTTGGTAAACGATATCAAGCTAAGAGCTACGCACACAGTATAACATATGCCCTATCTCTTGTGAATTTTCACTGTTCCCTTTGGAATTTGAAAATAGAGAGTGGGCAATATCTGTTTAAATGATATTTAAATGAAGAGGAATTAAGCTAACAAGGAAGTGCAAGTGCTTGGGGTCACCGATTTAGTTGATACTCTGCAGGTTTGTAGATATCGTCATGCAGTTTAAGAAAATATATCATTATAGCGGCAACTACTCAATAGTTTTTGAGATATTTACGATTAAAGTTTCATTACTTAATTTTTATTATGTTTTATTAATCTATTACTAATCTGTTTCTTTCCAGCTTTTCAGGTTCTTCAAGACATCGTTGGACGACGCGGGATGCTTGCGTTTAGACCTAAGTAGTTATAAGCAAATAAGATAGATTCCTAGACTAAGTTTCATGTGCGCGTTACCTGTTCACAGGTAAGCTACCTAACTTGGAGCGAAATATATAAATTCTCTATCCCCCTCGTTTACCAAATAGAACATAATTGTTCTCATGATAATCGCGATCGTTCTCGAGTATCCACTAGCCTACGCGACGTACTTCCCGTGTACTCGACAACTCCACGCCTCGTAAGTCATTCTCACGGCTCGTCTCCGACACTCATTTCTGCCACTGTCAGTCTCGTAATGCATCGGGATCTCTGGTGGCCCGCGGGCTGGTGAAGCATCTGGGGCAACACGAGGGTCCGTCGACATTAGTCTTCCTGGGTGCCAATCCGTGCACACGACCGGGGGATGGGCCCTGCAGTCGGAATCATTGCAAGAGCGTGCCTGCCTGCCCCTCCAGCACTCGGCGGCTATGTGGTTATGTTTGCATAGAGCCGGGGTATGGAGCATGCGCGTGATTCCGATTGTTAGGCCTCGCATAGGACCCTCGGATTACCTCCGGGTGTTTCACTGGTTCGTTAGCTGCCTTAGATCATCGAGTAAGCCAT